CCTATGGATCAAAAATGGGATGTCAGTCAAGTTCATATTCTTGTAAAGGCAGACAAACAAATGCTTCTGGCAATATAGTGTATATCTACAATGCTCCCCTATCTAAGCAGCTTACATACATACTTACATACACAATGTTTATCTCATGAAATAATTATCATTAAAAGACTATTAAAATTTTTCATGCAAAGATTTCTAGGGTGTTAATTAGCTTGCAATCTTTCTAGTTATGTGTTTTTTTAATCTGGTAATCAAAAATCACATCTAAGGTATATTCACCTTTGTAAAGTTACCCTTACAATGTAAATTTCTAATTTATAGTTGTTTATGTTTTATTTCTACTGTATTCAGATTTTGGAAGGCATGCCATGGAAAATGAGTTTTAATTAAACTATAGTCAATTCACAAAATACACAAAAAGAAAGGTGTTCATATATATATATATGGCCGGCATAGTGTACAGGAACATCTGTGCCGAGTATAACCTGGAAGTCCTGAGGTCAAAATGGGAGATGCCCCCAAGGGTGGTGGAGAATGACCGAGCTAAGATCCTGTGGGACTTCCAGATACAGACGGACAAAATGGTGGTGGCTAACCAACCGGACATAGTGGTGGTAGACAAACAGAAGAAGACGGCCGTAGTGATCGATGTAGCGGTTCCGAATGACAGCAACATCAGGAAGAAGGAACACGAGAAGCTGGAGAAATACCAAGGGCTCAGAGAAGAGCTCGAGAGGATGTGGAGGGTGAAGGTAACGGTGGTCCCCGTGGTAATCGGAGCACTAGGTGCGGTGACTCCCAAGCTAGGCGAGTGGCTCCAGCAGATCCCGGGAATAACATCGGAGATCTCTGTCCAGAAGAGCGCAGTCCTGGGAACAGCTAAGATACTGCGCAGGACCCTCAAGCTCCCAGGCCTCTGGTAGAGGACCCGAGCTTGAAGGATAAACCGCCCGCAGGGGCGTGCTGGGTGTTTTTTATATATATATATATATATATATATATATACATATATATTTACTACATGTTGCAGGAATTTCTTTAACCTCATGTAAAAGCAGGTTGGTGTTACTCATCTTCACCCTCAACATGTCCAGACAGGTGTTCAACACTGTACATTTGACTTTAAACTGACCGAGTGCGTGAGCGGTATACCTCAGCGGTATCTCTGAGGGCTGCCTGAGGGTATCAGACAGTATATGATAGCAGCCAGATGGGGCACTGACATTTAACGAACAAAGAGCATGGTAACATAACCCCTGTGGGGTTGTAGGTGACTTGATGGCAAGCTATGTTGCTGTGTATCAGATGAGCTGCGTGACATTTTTTTTTCAATCATTATCACACCCACAGTCAGTCACTCTCTCAGTGCTAAAAGTCAACTCCATATCCACTTACCTCTCAATGCATTTATAATGAGTCACAGGATCAAGCAAGTGCTGAGAATAGTGGATGGAGGTTGAAAGCCGTGTCACAGGTTTCTTAACACTTTCATAAGCTTTCAGTATACTATTTCTGTGCTTTTAATGTACTTTATCACACCGTGCCAGGGATAGAACTAGAGATGTGTAAGTCTTTTTATCATATCATGGGTTTTCTTCTCTAAATAAAAAGAAATGCAAGAAGAGAGTTTCTACATTACAACAAATGGGATTCTTTATGTTTAATAAACTGTTACAGAAATTATTAAACTTATTGATTAATAAATCAGATAATTTTAAATAATATATTACCCACTGTTAATGAAATAGGAGTTTAATGCTTCTTTTAAAGCTTCTTATCATAATAAAATTACTACAAATTCTAATACAAATGTCTGACAATAATAACTGTGCTCTTTATTTATAAATACATTTTTTCATAGATAGATTGCAGCACTTTAAAAGATCATACATAATCTGACAGCCTAGAAGTTTTGACTATTGACAGTTTGTGTCCATCCATCCATCCATCCATCCATTCTCCTCCATTCATCCTTATAAGGGTTGCAGGGGGACTGGAGCCGATCCCAACCATCATAGCACTGTGACTTATTGGCAACCTATCCAGTGTATGGTATGTTTATCCAGTGTACTCCACCTCTCAGCCTATAGTGGTTGGTAGTTAGTAGTAGTAGTAGTAATAGTCTTTGTGTGATGTAAAAAAATTTTATCAGTTAATAGTAGCACAATATTTTGGCATAAAGGTACATTAAATTGACAAAACTCTGGGATAAACTTTAATAATTAATAAAATGTATTAGAATTAATGATTCAATTATTTTAGACTTGAATAATCAAATTGCAAATAAAGCTTTTTAAGATTTAGCTGACAAAATAGTTATTAAAATAACTAACAATAAGGACACACAAACTGCTAGTATCACAGATATTATACAGATTATGTTAATAGAATCTTTTTATCCTAACTTAATAATGAAAAAAATATAGTTTTTGTATATTTATGCATAAAATTATTTTAATTTCACAGCTAGCATTAAGCAAACATTGAAACAGTTTCATTCAATGGCATCTCCACAATCAGTTAGAAATAACAACAGTTGATCATGCAGTACTTTGACAACTGATGCAGCAAGTAAGGTAATTTCAGTAATATACAGTTCATGCCAATCATTCAAAAGAGACCTGTGACCCAGTTTTGCAACAAACTTTACTGAAAAACGAGAAGGTTTATACAGTAAAAGAAAAATTGCTTAATACGTTAAAAAGAAGTAATTGAACCAGTAATTGCCTCATTTGTATGTTAATCGTTGCTGAAATAAATGTTTTAACATATGAAAAGTACACCCATATATACACAGCATATTGCAATATCAAAGAACAAGTGCATCATCTCTCTCTGTCCTATTACTTCTCTGTTTCCTCCTAGGCATGTGCTGACACACACAGACTTCATTCCACCGAGCAATGGCTGAATAATTTCCATTGACTTCCTGGTGCATTGGCCACCAGAGGCAAATTCATAAAAGCAAAGATCTAAGGCATTAATTCACATGATTTCATTAAAGATGGGTGATTGCATTAAGCCCATTTGTTACACAGCAGCGGTGGTGTGTATACTGTGTGTATATCACTCTGTTGTGTAATTTGATTCAGGGAATTTCCAAGCTTATTTCGTCACTTAATTAACTAGAAAGTAGTATCACTGCTAGGTCTTTCTTTTTTCCTCTTTTTTCATTTTTTTCATTTTTGTTTATCTCTGGCCCAAAGAGGTGTGGAGTCATTTGGAGGTCTTTGGCACTGAGTAAAAAATAACACTTGTCGACTACAGTGGAATCTTCTGTGTTACTGGTGCTTAGGATATGACAACGGTGTCCTAACAGAGCTCAAGCATCGCGAATATCCCCGGTATGTCATATGGTATTGTGTAATATTCCCCTACGAGAGTGCCCGTTATGACAATAATTAAGGGTATTCCAAAGATGTGCATTCAGATCCACACAATAGGAAATTTAAATATTGTACCCAGTGATATTTCTCATAATAACATCAGCCTTCACAATTACCCCTGCCTAGTACTAATTATAGACAATTAGTCACAGAGACAGGTAGAGATATCATACACTTTAATCAAGTATTAGTTTCAGCTGATTATGAAAGAGCAGCACATTGCATCCCTGATCAAATGTCTCCCCATAGGCTTAATTGGGTCTTGGATGATTCCAGCATTGTTTATTTAGGCCTGATTACACCCAGGATAAAGACTTCAATTAAAGCTAGAGCTGTAATGATCTTGTCTCAAATGCCAGCAATGTACCACTGATGGCCTCTTGCAGAAAGGTCACTAGCGCTCACAGCAGTACATTGTGCAGTATAATTCTTTTTTTTTCTTTTTTTTTAGATTTAATGCTGGTGCATCTGAGAGAAAGTGGCCTTGTTGAATGCTAAACATTATAAATACTTAATCACAAACTTTCTTCTGTCAGCCATCAGGGAGAAAGACAACAAAGTTAGTCATTTAAAGGTACTAAAATGAGATATTTATTCTATCGGTGTTTATATCACACAGTGCCTCAGGGCTACAACCATACCAAAGCCTGATTAACATGCTGACAACAACAGCTGAGGAGGTGTTTGCACACACGTGTGTGTGGGTGTGTTTGGTGGAGAGAAAGAGTGCACTTGAACATTTCTCATTTGTTTCTCTTGTTTACCTGTAGGGCATCACGCTAGAGCACAAGCATGAACTGCACCCAGAATCACCCAGAGCTGATTTCTCTATTAGCTTTACTTTTGTGATAAATTATAAATTGTATATGTTTATACTTAAATTGTTTTGGGGTGTCAAGGACAAGGAATGGAGACTACAATTTGTTAATCTCCAATCACATTTTTCTCCACCTCAATGTGTCTGAAATAATAGGGTTAGAGAGACTTATGTCTATACAACTGATGGCAGGCAAGAACCTGATTAGGCCACACAGGAAGTGTGCTTTTCATCTTCTATTTCTCCAGGTTGCATCAGTATGGTTTGTCATTGACACATCCTCCCTTGCTGTAAACACATGGGGTCTAAACCATCATTTCCTATCTGTCAAGTTATTTCCTTTGTTTTGCGGTAACATCATTGTCGAATTGACATCATGCACATACCTACAATTGTCAATTTAACTATCTCTGATGACATGCACAGTTGTAATGTGGGTTCCTTTTCATCTCCCATGTCACTGATAGCCTGAGTAAAATCATGTTCCACTTTTAATTGTCAGTGGGAGTGCATGAAGCATTTTCTGCAGCATGATTTACTCCATAGTCACTTTTCATACATTACTGCTTCATGTCAACATAAATAAAACACACACAAACACACATACATATATATACAAACTCACACATATATAGATCAACAGGACCCTAAAATCCTTTATCAGGAACTCAGTAGGGATGTGGCATACAACACTGGAGGCCAACTTCAAGCCTATAGCACAAATCACCATCAAGTGCAGGCCCTACCAAGGAGAGCAAGGTAGTTAGAACTGAGGGGATTGCACTGCAACATTGCAGATACCAAGGAAAGTTACAAGTACCTGGGGATCCCACAAGCAAATGGAAATCACAAAGATGCCACAAGGAAAGTTGCAACCACTAAGTACCTGCACATGGTCAGGCAAGTCCTGAAGAATCAGCTGAATGGGAAGAACAAGATCAGGACTATCAACATCTATGTCCTGCCAATGATCAGGCATAATAAGCTGGCCAAAAGAGGAGACAGAAGCCATGGACATCAAAACGAGAATACTCCATGCATGGAGGGTTTAACCCAAAGTCCAGCACCTTGAGACTGTATGCGAAGTGGAAGGAGGCCGGGGACTAGCGGCCATTTTCCATGACGAGACAACGAACATCCAGGAGTACATTAGGAAGATGGCTATAACTCACGGTGTGCTTAGTGAATACCTCAGGCAGCAGAAACCCAATAAGGAGGAGCAAGAGGAGTAGCTATCATGGAAGGGCAGGCCTCTGCATGGTATATACCACCGGCACATAGGGGAAGTGGCTGACTTCCAGAAATCCTACCAGTGGGTGGGAAAAGCTGGACTGAAAGACAGCACAGAGGTACTAATCGTGGCTGCAAAGCAACAAGCTGTGAGCACAAGAGGCAGAGGTCTACCACACCAGGCAAGACCCCAGGTGCAGGCTGTGTAAATATGCCCCTGAGACAATCCAAGGCAGCGCATACATGGAACGCCATAACCAAGTGGCTGGCATAGTATACAGAAACATCTGTGGCAAGTACGGCCTGGAGGTCCTGATCAAAATCGGAGAAGCCACCTAGGGTGGTCAAGAATGACCATGCTGAGATCCTGTGGGACTTCCAAATACAGACAGACAAAATGGTAATGGCTAACCAACTGGACAAAGTAGTGGTAGACAAGCAGAGGAAGATGGCCGTAGTGATAGATGTAGCCGAATGACAGTGACATCAGGAAGAATGAACACGAGAAGCTTGGACTTGCACTCTGCGCAGTGACCTCCATGCAATTGTGATATGAAATTTAATCCAAATTGCGCTATATTTTTTTAAAAAAAGGAAGCTTTATTTTTTTGGGATGGATATTGAAATGACTGACTGTAGCTGTGGTGAGAAAACAGTGCAAGTTTTTACCTGTAAAACTAACCATACTGAGTGCTTTATGGGGGTTCCACTCACATGCTATTATGTCCCATTTAGTAAAACTGGCACTACGTGTTGTTTTCAATAATACCTAAAATTTTGAAGCACATATCAGTCACTAGGTCTGCATGTTTCCATATTTCCAGCTTCACTGGCTTCCTGTAAAATACTATGTTAACTTTAAGATTTTGCATCGTACTTTCAAGTCTCAACCCTCTTTGCAACCCAGTCATGTTTATTGTCACCGATCTCCTGTTTTTTCTTTGTGCAGATTTTGCTACATGTGTGAGATCACACACATCTTCAAACATATTATGTATACAAGAATAATCCTTAATTTTTTAGGATTTATTTGTTGTTACTGTTCATTTCATCTGAGACACATTCATCATTCCTATGTTGCAAACCCCACTCATCTGTTATTTCAAGCAAGATCAAGAAATGCTAAGAATATTTTGCAAACACCATTTAACCCAGCTCTGAATCCTATTTCCTCGGCAGTGAAACACAGATGATTTGGTTTTATGTGTTGGGGAAGAAACAGCAAGGCACATTCCATCCAGACTGAAATATTTGTCATCATGCTCTCAATCATAAGGATATCTTTCTCTTTCTGGCTCTACCGCTCTCTCTTTTTCTGACAAATGTGTACCGTACTTAGGCTCCACAAGCAGCTTTATATGAGTCACCAAGTTAAGATTTATTCCTTCCATTACCTCACGCCCTTAGTGTCTTAATATCATGACGTTTAAACTTGTACCAGAGCAATAAAAAAAAAAAAGAGTCAGTTGCCTTATTTTGTTTTTCAGTGCTCATATAATTATTTATCTTAAAATAAAAACTATGAATAAAAAAACTATGTTTCTGTTTATTCTAGGTGCACTGTCAAGTTCTCTCCTGTCTCTGTATCCCTTGTCAGATCATGCTTGGGAAATGCAACTGACAGGTTTGTGTTTCCACTAATGTATTTGCCTTTTGCATATATACATCTCATTGTCTACGGTTTTGCAGACAGAGACTTTTAAATGGGACAGGTATCAATGTTGAAATCAGCTCATCTGAGGGTGCGGCACTGCTCGCTTCTTTTTGCTAATTCTGTTAAGCCACTGGGACTCCTAATAAGGAACAACAGTGCCTTGATGTTTGGCCCTCTGGCATATGAGGTTTATTTGTGGGCGGTGAGTGAAGACACACATATTTTGATGCACACATATACACATGGTTAGCAAATGTGGATTTTCACTCACTTTTACGCTGTGACACACTTGAACACAGCCACAGCCATAAAAGAACTGCAGAGATGCTAGAACATTCATAACAGGCTCACAACAGAAATAGGGCCTATAATTTACCTGTACTAAATGCAGCTTTTTAGTAAGTGCCAAAGCAACCAGCATCCTACTCCACCATTCTACTCTTCTCACCTCTTACTCCTCCTCATCCTCACCACTCCTGGCCCAGATTGTAATTGTCTCCTGAATAGCACAGAGTAAATAAAGCTAATGCAATATTTCTCTGGAGTTCATCTTGTGATGTAGTATGGTGTTTGGCTGGTGGGAGAACTAAGTTTTCAAATTGAACATGGCGGCTGGTCAGATGAATAATGGCGTTTCTGAAATAGTTTTCAAGGTTAGCATTCAATAAAAAGGACACACTTTCACATCTGAAGCCCATTTTTTGTGTGGAAAATATACACAACCTAAATATGGATTTTTATTTTTCCTTTGCGTTAGTGCTGCTTTTTAGTTATAAAAACACACTCAATGACAATCTCTCTCAGGTTCTCTCCTTCCCAGCGTTTCTGTGTCTCCCTCACCTCTATAACCTCCTCCCTCTCACAACAGCTGCCCTTACAAAGCCACTATGACATCTCCTTGAGCATTTCTTCCACTTTTTTTTCTGTGTACAAAAAATCTTCTCCTCTATCTGGCATCCTTTCTCTCATCCCTAAGTGCCGCTTCCCCCCTTCCACCCTCCCAGTCAGCTTCCCACTGCTGTCTCTATGGTGTCGTGATGGTCACCATAGCAACTGTATGGAGGAATGGAGGGTGGCATATTGGGGGTGGGGGTTGGGGGTGGAGGTAAAAAGACCATCATAGCATGTTTAAAGGGTTTGGCAACAACACGGTGAGGCACCACATTATCAAACACCAGTGAAAGCTCTTTTTCTCAGTCACAAACACCCATGCATGAGGTGCACAGGAATAAAGACAGAAATATTTATACTACTACATAAAGTATGAATGTACATGCACCTCCACTCTCTCTCTGTTACACACACACACACACACACACACACACACACACACACACTTAACAAGCACAAAGAAGCTCTCGGTGCAAGAGCATTAGAGTTGAGAGGCTTACCATTGGAAATGGGGTTTTAAGACTACCTGTGGATTCCCATAGAAAAAGAGTGAACTAATGTTAAATTGGCTTTGATGGAGAGGAAAATGCAACATGAGGTTTCACGAGCTAAAACTGCATTAGAGAACTGAAAGTGAGTTGCCTTTGTTAGAACAAAGTAAAGAGAGAGGAAAGTGCCTATTACCAGTACCTGAGGAAAAAAAAAACCCAAGCTGTTGTTTTATTTACCAATCTTTCAGACTCCATCTCCTTATTTTCCACCTGCAGGCTTTAATCTGTCTATGCAGCTGAGCTCCCTATGATTAGATATAAGGTTATGTTAGACAGTTTGGTCAATGAAGGTAAAGATGAGAAACACCAGGAAGAGCTAAAAAACTATCCCACTAGTAATAGGAAATAGAGAAGGAGAGGATAGCAATGACCAGTCCAAGGTAAAAACCTGCATATAACAAGTAATACAGTACAGCTAGAAATGGACTAGTAATTGCACTCACAAAAGTAAGGGCCCCCTTGCAGTGATTTTCTTTTTAAATTACTTGAAATTAAAAAAATAAAATAAAATGACAATGCTAAGACATAGTCTTTGTTAGCATCCCAAGCTTTGTGTTTTCTTGCAATATTTTTTGCATTGTGTGGCATGCAAAAAGTAATTTACTGTATTTACAGAGTTTACTGTATGGAATGAATGAAAAAATGTTTCCTACTTGCAAATAAAGTGCTTTTTGCAAATTGTAGGATAAGAAATAAGATCCCAAAAAAGAGACATGGGTTCGTCCTCCTGTGGGCCCACCATTCACAGGAGCATCTGTAGGGGTTTGGTGGGAGTCAGAGGTGAAAGTACTGGCACTCTGCCTTGTGATACATGGAATGTCACCTCATTGGTGGGGAAGGAGCCTGAACTGGTGCGTGAGGTTGTGAGATGCCAACTAGATATAGTCTGTATCCCAAGGCATGGCTCATTCTCTGGAACCAGTTTCCTGGAGAGGGGTTTCATTCTGTTCCACTCTGGAGTTGCCCTCGGTGAGAGGTGGAGGTGGGGTGGCAGGCGTGGGTATACTTGTATCCCCCGACTTTGCTGCCTGTGCATTGGGGATTTTCCCAGGTTTACGAGAGGGTTGCCTCAACTTTACCTGAAGGTATTCTGTTATTGGACTTGTGTGCTAACCACAGTTTGTCCATAATGAACACCATGTTTGAGCATAAGGGTGTTCATAAGTGCACATGGCACCAAGCCACCCTAGGCTGCAGAGCAATGATCGATTTTGTGGTCATATCATCAGTTCTGCAGCCATATATCTTGGACACAGGTGAAGAGCTTTCAACTGATAAGTGGTTAGTTGGATCAGGTGGTGGGGGAGGATGCTGAACAGACCTGACAGACCCATCCGTATAGTCTGGGTGCACCAGGATTGTTTGGCAGAGGCCCCAGTCAGCAAGATCGTTAACTCCCATATCCGGCAGAGCTTTGATTGCATTCCAGTGGAGGCTGGGGGCATTGAGCTCAATCATTCGAAAGGGAGTAGAGCTGCTTCTCTTCCACATTGAAAGGAGCTAGTTGAGGTGGTTTGGGCATCTGACTAGGATGCCTCCTGGACACCTCCTAGGTGAAGAATTGTACACATGCCCTACTGGGAGAAGGCTCTGGGGCAGACCCAGGACTCACTGACGAGATTATATCTCTGGTCTACCTTGGGAATGTCTTGGTGTCCCAGCAGATGAGCTGGAGGTTTTGGTTGGGGTGATGGAAGTATGGGCTTCTCTGTTAAGACTACTGCCCCTGTGACCTGAACCTGGATA